GCAACTTGAAGCCCATTTATGGCTAAGTCTTTGTAAGCGCCTCCGCTGAAAGTCGCTTTCATTTTTCTTTCATGATCGCGGGTAGTCATACAGAGTCCCTGTTCGTCTCGATACGGCGACATCGAAAATTTTTGTCGACTAAGTTTCACGGGGCATTTCAAATTGAATCCACACTTTCGCTCAGGACGCAGTTCGCAAGAGCCGAATCTTTCGCTTCCACTGGATAGCCGAACTAAGCGATGGTATTACAACAAAAGGGGCAACGGTTGCAACAGGTATCACGGAAACCCTGATGCGTGAACACTTCAAATCAACCCTTCCATTATTGGTTCAGCGTGATAGCATCGACGCAGGGCTTGGTCCAGTTTTGTTGCACAAAGGAAGGCCAATTGATTGTGGCAACATGCAGCTCACGAGTGCCAGACAAAACTATGTGCCGATAGAAAATAAATGCTGGCGTTGATATTCCTTTAAGCGATTCAACACCCGCATCTTTGGGGGCGGAGATGTCAGTGTTCCACACCAACTCCGATTCGCGTCAGCATTATACAAACGCTTCGTGTGTGTGGCGTCTTGAAATTTTCTGAAAGTTATACTGATGTTTGAATTAGTTCATCTCTCAGAGTGGCATGTCTATACTTTTTCTGCGGTTGGTCTGATGGTTTTAAACATCATTTTATACTCTCCTAACCAATGACATCAGTTTTTCAAGAGATACAAAATTGCAACTGTAACATCTGATGATTATTTGTTCCAGCTGCTTGTTTACGTCGTGAGAACGTTGTAACTGCAATTAGAGGTATACCTACCAGCGGATATAGTGATTTTTCAACAACCACGACTGGTTGACTCTAAGCGATAATCTTACATTGAAGCGAGTATGGAGGATTCTTCTAAATGCCATTTCACAGAAAATACACGCTGCTCCAACAACTGACGCAAAGTGAAAATGTGGTCAATGCAGCCACGACCTCGACGAAACCCAGCTTGCACTTCACGAATCTGGCTTTCACAAGTGCCAGTCAGTCTGTGAAGGATGACAGAGGCAAGCAAGTTGGAGGCGATGGAGATCAGAATGATCGCCCTATGGTTGCCGCATTCCGATCGCAAGTGTTCTTTGGAACAATTTCCTACTCCCACCGTTTCACTAGTGATTCGTGTAAATCATCAACGAGAACAGGTCCCCTGAATTTGAAGAGGGCTGGTTGAAGATCATTTGGTCCCGCGGCTTTGTTCTACTTCAACAGTCCGATCTCACCTTCGATTTCTGAGCGAGAGGGCAGATCCAAAGAGACATCTCAGGGAGAAGGGTGTTCATTGGCCAGTGAGAAATTTGACAATTTCGACCGATTAAACTGCCTTTCAAAGTGCTCAACCCAACGCTTCAAGCGTTCTGACAAGTTGTGGATAACCTGTGTACTCTTGTCACGTATGGTTTCACTAACACCAGGTCTCCTGCTGCCCGTTTCCCGTATCAAGGGCAGCGGCCATTTCCATCTCTAATGCACGATGAGACCACCGGGATTCGCGGTCTCTCTTCAGGCTGGTACGGAGTTTTGCCTGGAGTTTTCTACTAGTCTCATTGTGTTCGCTTCCAGCCGGAATGTGCCAGTGAGCATCAATAAGTACCAGAGACTGCGAAGGGACCCAATATCCATGTTGGCCATTAGCTTTACCACATACTGTCTGGTGAACATGAGACCAGTGAGCGCTTACTTAACTCGAATGTCAGCATACTTTGATAAGCATTCAGATCAGCAGGCTTCGTCAGTTGGCTGATGTCAATGAGCTCACAGTGTCGTCTTGGGCGTCCTCCAAAACGCATTCGTAAGTCAGCCCAGACAGATACATGGTCGGTGTCCACACATGGGCTCTAAATCGAGCGACAATTCTGGATTCAGCCTCTCCTGCGGTAACTTATCGCAATTTGATCGATCTGCGTCCAACGCTGGTTCGAGGCTGTTGGGCGCCCAGTCACCCTCCGGCGAGTGCTCTGTCGGAAATTAGTGCTCGCAAGAAATAAGTGGGCATCTTCACACAAGTGAAGTAACCGCTCACCGTTATCATTACGGGACCCTACACTGTGCTGACCGCCCAGATGTAGCTCATCAGTGGACAATTCTCCAACTTCTTAAGTGTTAAGCTCATCCGCCAGCACCGCAGTGTCTGTGCTTCTGCTGCGGCGGATGAGCTCGTTCAATTGACGATAGAAGTCGTCTTTTACTGAATCATCCCTATAGTTCGTGGTGGCGTAATCAGCGTTGATAAACATACACCTGTTATGTCCGCGCGACTTCGTAGCTTTGAATTAGTCAGCCAGTCGGACCGCATGGGTACCACTATTGATTGGGATCCAATCAACTCGAGCAGTTTCAGCCCGGAGACTCAAGGCAATACTAACACCGCCTTGGCCGGTACTCGTGCTTGCATCATCTCCGGATAGGCACAATTCGGATGCATTGCTAGTGTCACCTAAAGGGAATCGCAGAGGGAGGGCAACATTTACGCACCGCGTTCGTATGTGAGTTGAAACTAGCAGATAAACGCCAATAAAAGCATGGTGGAGTAGGTCCAACGATATTTGGTTAAAAACAGGGGTGATAAATGTGAAGCTGGGTCAGAACGATAAGAGTGAAAAACGTAAGAGGGGTTATAAGAAGATGGAAAGGCTTGAGTAGTAGCACCAAAACCCCTATCCACTCTGCTCGATGCAGCAGTAGGGCACCGTTGATTATCCTCTGCGGTGACCAGAACATCAGGAAATTGTTTGAGGAAAGATTCATTGTATGGCGTGGGCAGAATGCTGTCAGGTTGCCCAGGCCTAGACAGGAGAGCGATTAGGGTTCTCAACCAAAGGCCTTTGGTTCAATGACCTTACTGCAAGACAGCGGAGTTAGGGCACTAAACTACAGAGAATCTGTCTTATAGAGTTAGGCCTCACCCTGAAGTTGCAAAAAAGTACCTCCCAGCATAGCTCAGTGGATCGCTGAGGCACGCAAACCATCGCATCACGTTACTTACGCTGTGTAGTTTTCTTCATTTACTTTATCGCGTTTGTGGCTTTTTGCATAACTTGTGAACCTTTCGTACTTATCGTGGATTCGTTGCTAACCTACTTCATATGCTGATTTAGGGAAGAGTTATATCGGCATAGCCGCATACTTTAGCATACATAATAATAATAATAATGTTATTTCAAGTGATTGTCTGTTGTTTGATATCCCCGGTGTGGTTGCGCTTGATATGTATGTTGACAAGGTGCCTACCTGTCTGTTACTCACTACCTCGTCCATACTAGCTCTAGGTGAGTTGGTCATTGCTGGAGAGGCCGGAGTGCACGGTGCTTGTGTGCTTCCATGCACTCAATGTGTAGCGGACTACGTTGCAGCCACCGACTTGTGTGCGCTTGATTCCCAAGTACATCGTACTTGTGTTTGCCTGTGAATGAGTGTGGAACATCTCCGTTGATGAAACGTTGCTCCCATCCACATGCCTCCCGGTCTTATTCCTTCGGGTTTACACTGGATATGGTGTGTGTGGGTGATGTAGCCAAAGCCATCCATGGTCCCTCTATAGACGTAGACCTCCTGTGGCTGACCACAATGACAGGCCATCAACGGTATATATATATATATATATATATATATATATATATATATATATTCCTTTCATTTTGACACCCACCCACCCAAACAATTGCATTTGATAAGCAGCACATGAAAATATAGTGACTCAGATTAAACCAAATTTAGCGACGCGGGCTTAACCGATACCCAGCTTGGCTCTCCTGCATTCGGTTTACCTTCTCTAGCTGTTAATATTCCAGATTATCCAGATTAATTTTGTACCCGTTGTTCTTAACCTTTTCTTTGCACTGTGCTTGCGTTGTGCCTAATTTTCTCACATCTGTTTTTTACTCTTATCCTGATGAGGCGAGTTGTGGCAACCGGATTCACTGCACTTCGGTGCCCAACTCGCAACTGGCCAACTGTACTGAATTGTGGCGTCAGGCCATCATCATCAACAGCAGTACATCAGCCACTTGAACTGAGTCTTCTCCTCCCTTGCAATCGCGGTGATTTACGGAATGAATAATAATAAGAGGAGAGAAGGGGGACCTAATGTGAAACCTTGACGCCATGCCATACAAGGTCGGTTCGCCTACACATTGTCAACAACATACGGTCACCAATAGCTGGCCGTCGTGCAAACATGAGGCAGTGTCTGCGCGATTACTTCTCTGCAGGTTTCACTCCCCCACGTCATAATTAAATGATTTATTACCTAGACAGCAAATTATAGGCTTCTATTTCACATCGCTGATTTTACTAAACGAAAAGATCATGTCTCGTAAACCCGATAATATGCGTTTTTATTACCAATATTAATATTATTATTAATTCGCTGTCTCGAAGTCATAGAGGAAGTGTGTCATGGTCTCAACGGTGCGGTTTTGCACATATTATGCGGGGGGAATTTACTCTGTTAATAGGTTTTTCCTGTATCAATATTGCACGGTTCAAATCATTTAGCCCACTGAGTTCATTCCCACCCAATTCTTCCTTGTATGTTGTTCTCATTTCTGTGGAGTGCTCCCCACTTGTAATCGAATTGTCCTGACCTCACCTAAATTGTCCTCCCCTGAATCGATCACAGGTTGGATTCTTAACTATTTGTATCAGTTCGCTTGTCTACCGTCTTCACGTCCTTGCACATTTCCTAGTTGTCGCTTCGCTTCTCCTCATTCCAAAAGCCATCTTTCCTTGGTTCGCCTTTGGGTTTTATCCTCCCAGACGTTTTGCACTGCATATGCACTTTTTTGACCGGACTAACATTTGGGCTTTTTTCTACATCAGATACGCTCTAAAGACCGTATTGACCGACGGTTACTTCTACATGAATCGCGCTCCTGATTGCCATTCTGCGTCCCAGTTCATTCCTACAAAGAGTTCTTTTAAACCACCTCAATGACTTCGGATTTTACTTTGTTCCGTTTGTAGCACCGAGTTGAATAAGCCGGCTACTCAGTCGCTGACCCACAGATTAACCAACGCTTTGGAGACCGCAATTCGTGCAACGAACGCTCAGTATGAACAACCTGAAATACTTCAGCGATTACATGTCCGATTGCTGGAGATGTGTGCAGGTGGGCTTATCTGCGGAAATGGATTTTTGTAACAACACTATATTTATTTTCTTGTTCATTTGCTTGGTAGCTGTTTTCGAATTGCCTGGCCCCACAAATCTATTGCTGATCAGTCTCAAGCATTTTTAAATACTCATGCGTATGGGGTTTTCATGTAACAGCTTTTAATTATTGCATTGTACATAGCTGCTGTCATTGGTAATCGTATCTTTCAAGGTCAGCCCTGTCCTCTGCAACATTCGTAACTTGCATGACGGTAAATGATAAGACGCACTACATGACAGTTCGACAGTACATCATGACCGCGCCCCACTGTCTCCCGTGGCTCAATGCGTAAGGTGCTCGTATCCTCCGTGGTCACGGGCTCGGATCCTGGTGGAGCCGATGAATGCGCATTACTGACGATAGTTAACAGGTCGAAACAGCCGTCTAGTGCTCTCCGGGGACATGGAGGACTATCTGGAAGCAGTTGCGATGAACCCCTCAATTGTTTTTGTTTGTTGATTTGATTTACCTTCGTACTACTTGTTGTCTAGCCGCTGTCAAAGGCCAGGTTTATCGACATATCTTTTCACTGATTCCATCATGTGTACCGTAATAGTTGCGGATGGCACAAACGCTCAGCTTTTTCCTCCCTGAGAAGCAGTAGGACGATTAACGAATGGTTCACAATAAAATGGGGAGACGGATGAAAATCTAACGCAACTGTTACTGGTTCATCAAGCATCCAATCGAACCTGCACCAATATGTCGATTGATTTGAAACCGAAGGCACCGACTACTTGAGGATTTGGAGATTTGCTTGCGGTCCACTTTCCGATTATCTCCCGATGAAATCCCACAGAGCAGAAGGGCAGGTAAGCGTAGCCTAAAAGCAACGCAGGTGCTAAGAATGCAACAAATCCCAGGTCACTAATGTGAAACATGTGGGTGAATATCCAGTTAGTTCAGAAGTGAAATACAAAGGACATCAAAAGAAGGGAGGGCCTTAAGCAAGAGGACAATGTCAGTTGCTATGTTTCGATTTGAAGCCCTCGATCCTCCATAAGACTAACGTGTCCCAGCGTGCGCACTTTGTTGCAGATTGGTCAAGAGACAGCACTTGCCCGAATACTAGAAATCTTGTCGATCGATGTCTGTTGTTTATCGAAAGTCCACCTGCAAAATTCTGACTCTGTGCTTCCTTTCCGATCCCTCACATGTGACGCTGGTGCCACCTCGTTGCACCTGTTCGGAGATGACGCAGCTTCGAATGCCGGTCAAGTCGGCGTGGGCAATGTTTTGTGTGCCGGCCTGAAGCTGCCATAATCAATGGGACCCAATCAACAGCCGGATGTGAGCCGTCTGATTGGTTGCTCCTCCAAAACTTCAAAATCGTTCACAGACAAACGGTGCCTGTTTGTCGTCACTGTTAACGCCGCCACAAACTGTGGCACTGAATTGGTGAAAGATTACCTCTAGACCCAACTGAATCCGCTTTTTCTTCAATGCAGAAAGGCGGATACTGTACTGCTGGTTACTGATCTGAAACCCCAAGTTGGCATGCTGTTCACTTATGAAATGCATCTAAGCAGCCAACAAGTTGTAGGGTCCCGTAATGATAACGGTGGGAGGTTACTTCATCTGTGTGAAGATGCTCGCTTATTTCTTGCGATCACTAACTTCCGACACAGCAACCGCCGGAGGGTGATTTGGCGCCCGCCAGCCTCGAACTTGTCATGGACGCAAATCGATCACACTGTGATTAGTTGCCGCTGGAGAGGTTGTGTTCAAAACAGTCGCTCGATTTGGAGCACGACCGGGGACTCTGATCACGCCCTTGCATGTGCCGATCGGCGGGTACCTTTTGGCGACGTCCACCACGGCACTGTGAGCGCATACACCAGCCAACTAGGGAAGCCACATGTTCGGAATGCACATCGAAGTACGCTGTCATGCGGATTGCGTAATCGCTCCGTGAACACCGCTTAAGGTCACTGCCCGCCAGACGTTACTATCAGTAGGCGTAGCTTCATGTGGCAAATCAAATTAGAGACGTAACACTTGCGAAAAGAACTTTTTTAGTCAACTCACTTTAGGCAGATGGAATTACGAGACTAGGATAAACGCGACAGGCATGCGAACGCTGAAAACGCGATTGGTTGACGCAACGAATTCGATAAATAATCCTCTTGATACAGACGTCATGGGATGCGCGAGCACGCACACACACATACGCACGTATCGAGCGGGTTATTGATCGAATTCCTTGAGTCATCCAATCACATTCCCAGCGTTCCCAAATCTGTCACGTTTATCTTGCAATTGTATTTGTATGAGTTTCTCTTCGCAAGTGTTAAACTTCTAATATATGTATTCGCATAGTTAATTAACTAAAGAGACGCGAATGAAATTGCCAATCTGCATTCTAGGTCTCTACTCACTCTGAAACTACTGGATGCTCGCCGACGTGTTCTGGCTGTAAGAAAACACAATGGGACACGCAAAGGTCTCAGAGCAAAGCTGCATGCTGACCTAACGAGACATCGCGAAGCCTGGTTGTCTTATCGGACATCAGGGATGAAAGTGGCCGCTGCCCTTATTAACCATCGGAAGTTGTTCCGTTTGATACGGGATACTGGCAACAGATCTCGTGTTAGTGAAACCATACACAACGAGAGTGGACGACCTATCCACAACTTACCACAACGTTGAGTTGAATACCTTAAAAAGCTGTGTTGTCGGGTAGGCAGCATCTTCTTTCCATCTGCTTTAAAAACAGTTTAATCAACCTGTTATCGTTTTCTTTTTCGGACATTGATTGCTCTTCTCCCTGAGTCGCCCCTTTGGACACACTCACGCGCAGAGGTCGAGCGCGAGATCGGACTGTTGAAATTGAATAAAGCCGCAGATAGACTTCTCCTTGCAAATTCGGGAGGCTACCTCTCGTGCATAATTTGTACACCCTGCTAGTGAACCTGTGGGAGCAGGTACTGGAGCAGCTACGTTAGAGTCCTAATTTTCGGGAGAAGTTCACGTTCGGACTACCGTAATCATAACGGAATCGGTCTGATCTCAGTTACTTCCATCGTTCTCCGCAGTCTGACTGGCACTCCTGAAAGCCAGCTTCTCGAGGAACAGGCCAAATTTACTCAAAATCGCGGCTGTAATGATTGCATCTTCACATTACGTCATTTGTTGAGACACCACCATAGTTATCGACGACCCACCTTGGCTGCGTTTTTCTATATCAGTGGTGCCTTTGGTTCATTTGATCGATGTGCCCTTTGTAACCTTCTGCTCAGGAAAGGTGTGTCTGAGAGGTTTGTAAGCATTACTAGATCGTTTTATTCGCATTGCTCGGGTAGAGTTAGAACTTATGGCAAACTGTCACCGATCTCCAACATCACTAGCGATGTGAAACAATGTTGCCGGCTGTCACCTTTTCAACCGTCTTTGACGAATGTATGGAAACTGCCTTCACTGGACACGACCTACAAGGAGCTGCTTCCTCTTAAACAACTTCTTGACTTAGAGTATACCAAGGACATTGCCCTAATCTGTGATATCTCTCAAACGTGCTGAGCAGCACTAGACCGATTACCGCTGACGATCAGTCGTTTTGGACTATGCTTCGGACCCTCAAAACACGATCTCTTTCTCTAAGATTGGCAGCGACCGCCTTCTGCGCTGGCACATTTAGAACTCGTTCAGCAGCTATATCAACACGTGTGAAATATAAGATGAGTTCATGAACCGTTTGGCAGAGGTTTAAGGCGTCTTTACATATCTCCACCAACTCCGCCGGCGCAACATCATTCTCACTCGTAAAGACGGAGTTTACAACGTGATTGTGCTTTAAACTCTCCTGTACAGTTGTGAAACCTGGCCTATTGGGTCCACAACCATAAAATGTCTTGTTACGTTCCATAGTCTCGGCTCTCAAAGTTTAGCTCACATCTGGTGGGAACACCGCATGAGCAATGAGTGTATTCGGCGTCGCGTATTTGGTGCAGGAAGAGCGAGTGAAATGCTCAGCACCATTATATCACGCACCAGGCTCCTATGGCTGGGCCATGTGTTGCGCATGCCAGCACACCGACTCCTGCGAGGTGCGTTGTTTGCGCGACGGAGATGTGGATGGAAGAGGAGGCCAAGTAAAGACTTTGTCGAGAGGAATGAAAACCCTCACTTCGAATTTGGCTTTGGTTGATGTTTCCCGACTGCCTGGCTTGGGACCGAAGGATGATGAACACATTTGGTTGGACACACTTGCTGATATGGCGAAGAGGCTACCTCAGGGGCGCTTGTGTTAGGAGTCTCTTTGTCCCTCTCCTGCCTCTTAGCTTTTCCTTCCAACCACAATCTGATATCTGATGCAAAATATGATATTTGGCATTGTATCGCTTGTTTTTGCTTTTTGTTGTCTGTAATGTTTATATTTAATCTTTTGTATTGCGGCACACTAGCTGAAGTGTGTTCCTCACTCTCAGCTATCGTCTATTGATGAGATTGATGAATCAGGTAGACGAAATCGTTTGTGCTTATCGGTCAGCGAGATCAGGTGTATGTAAGCGTATATTAGGGAGATTTATGGCTAGTGCCAGGCAGTGAACGTAGACAGTGACTTGAACTGTAAAAGGGAAGCATTTCGCGCTGTGGACATTTTCGAAAACCAAACAGACTCCGTATAAAGAGGACGGTTGCGGATATCTTGGAGAGGATAGACTGATGCGCCAAGAACGTGTAGTTTGGCGCGATGGACTGGACCAACCACACCATCGGTTTCTTCGGATCCATACCACTAGATTCTTAAAAATACCCAATGTAAATATGGCACAGGATGGTCTAGCATGCAATCGGTTGCATTGGAAGCTAGCACTCGATGTACTTTGTGTGTTTTCGTTTTCGCAACGATCGCCTCTTGGATTCTCTATACCTGAAAACTGTTTAATTCTGCCCATCGATCTTTCTGCTATGCAGGCATTATGTGTTTTACTCAGTGCTGCTGACTTGTTCATTGAGACGAGCCAACTCTCGCACCCGTTCCGATGAAGCGTTATATATTTTGTTTCAAATAGCTCCTGAACTCTGGATCACTCGAGTTCCCCCAACTTCTCCCTTGAGCCTTCTGTGTGGATTCTTTCGTCTAAATAGCCTGAGTGTCATCCCAAATCATTATTGCTCAACGAAGTGTCTGTTGTTTAAAGTAAACCCAATGCGTCGTCAGATAAATGCTTGATGTTTTACGGGCCTTTGCATTAGCTTGATTATCTCTACCCTCATTCCGTTACTTTATTTCTACTGAACAAAATTTTCCCGTCAATTTTGCCTTGTTTTCCTCTGCACGTTTTTATGTTGTTGCGCTTGTTGTCATTCAGAACTACCCTATGACTTACTCCATTTATTTTACTAGCTATTTCGATCAGTCTGCCAGGTTCCAATCACTCGCTGACTGGGACTTAATCTACGTATGAATTATATTATACTGACCGAGTTTATTAACAACTGTCTTATCTGCCTGTTTCCACTTTAGTCGATTTTCTCTTCATCTTGTGTTGGTTGTCAAGGCCACATTTATCCGCATAGCCAGACGATGAGCTAAGAAATATCCACACTTTCAACGCACACCATCGTATTTCCCTATGTGGACTTCTTTTCTTACAGGTGACGTCGGATGGGATGTTTTCTCTTTGGACTATCATGTAGACGGTCCGTTAGCCACTATTTTCACTGATGACTGTCGTCTGATGTATCTACGAGGTTTCAATTTCCTTTGGCGTGCCAAACGAATGGAATTTTGCCTGAGCACCCTATGGAAGTGCCAGTTCGTTGCCGCTCGCATGACCCATGGTTTAGGCATGGATCTTGAGCCTGTTTTACACCTTTCGGAACTGCTCGGTGCGGAAATCCGTCACTGCGTGCAACAAGTCCAATACTACGTTAATTTCGAGGTCAGTACATAAATATTGCCATTTTATTACCGCGGTTCTCTTGTGCTTCCCTTCTCTTCACGTGTTTCTCGAATATCCAAGACCAAGTTCACTTGTAGCTTTGCAAATGTCACTAATAGTTGTACGCAATTCTGCATCAGGCGATTTTATCGTTTTAGCGATAATGATCGCTTGATGGCTCCACACTTTCGTTGCAGTTCGGGCATTTGTTTACAGTTTGTACAGAAGAAAGTTCAACAATTGTCATCACCTTGCGCCTTTCATTGTGGTCACGCCCTTAGACTTTTATTCATGACCCCAGCAAATTGATTGAACTCGGATGTCATATTCGGCTTGTGTTTGGATCTATGCGAGCCTGATAAACTGGGAAATCTTACCGTTTTACAGTATAAATTCAGCAAGCTTTTATTCACTTTCGAGACAAAGTTTAGAAGTATGAATCGAATCCGAAGCCACTAATCACCATAGCAACTTTCATCGTGTCCCATCTATCCGTGACCTTGTGCTCGGTGTGGTATGGTAACCGAAACCTCGAATGGCTTAGTGTCCGAGACAATGTAAACATTTCCCGGTAAAGCCACTGTTTGATCGAATAATTGATTGTTACCGTCTATCGCATCGATTTTGAACCCTAGAATGTCCCAATATTTGCACGTGATTACCAACCTCCTGAAGATTGACCGCAACGGTACAGAACTGTTAATTTCGCCGGTTGTCCATTTTGTTCTAAATCTCGAATGTTATTAAGTGACCTGCAATTCTTGCGTTCCTTTTGTGGCCTCTTCAGTCACTACAATGCAATTTTGCCCGAGATGCGTCGCTGCGTGCCTCACTGAACAAGCTGTTAACCAAGGGCCAAACCTGTACTTGTACGTCGGAATGCCAGAATGCCTTCTAACGGGTCCAATCGTCTATGATCTCAACTCATTTTGATCCCACTCGAGAAATCGTCCTCCCTACAGATGCAACAAGCCATGGGATCGGTGCAGCAATCACACGCGTACTTAGGTGCATCTCACAAAGCCATCGCTAATGCTGTTAGGACACTAAGAAAGGCCGAAAGAAGCCTTGACCATAGTGTTCGCGGTGAAGAAATTCCTCAAGATGCTGTGCTGTCGCCTCTCCAAGCATGTGACAGATCACAAGCCTTTGCTGGTTATCTTTGGCTCGAAGAAGAGGCATCTCGGCGTACACGGTTACATCGATGGGCTCTCACTTTAATGGGGTAGTATTCCGAGATCAACTACCAGTCAACAGTTTTCATGGGCCAAGCGGATGTACTGTCATGCGTAAATGATGCCCATTAGCGAGAACATGAGGACACAGACAATGACTCGGTCGAGATCGAATCTACCGTTAACTTCCTGGTGAGGGACGCATTGGACGATACACCAGTTACCGCGGCAGCTGTGCTAACCGAAACGCTTCTGGATCTAGTACTCAAGAATGTCACACAGTCCCACAGAATCAGTTGGCCACGTCCATCTTCATCAGTAGAGTTGGAGCAGTACTACCAGAGAAAACATTCACGTTCCATTATGGATGATAACATGCTATGTTAGGGAAGACTTGCTATCTCCAAGGCCCTAATAGATCGCGTACTTCGGCAGTTTTATACCGGGCATTCTAGGATCATTTGGATGCAGGCGCTTGTCTGCAGCTATGCTATTGGCCTTTCATGAACAAACAGCTGGAAGAACTGGCTAAACACTGCCAAATTGTGCCAACGTCCTAAAAGCACCACAAAAGACGGTGCTCCATTCATGACCAAAATCCACGGAACTATAGTGCCGTATCCATGTCGACCGCAAGACCGAGCAACGTCCGAAGTTTCATCTTCGTGGTCTCCTTACAACAAATGGCCTGAAGTGTTTCTCATAAATATCACAACAACCAATGTTACTGTATCGAGACTGCAGTTTCGGCTGTCCAGAGATACTTGTAACCAACAGCGGCACGCAATTCACTTCGACAGCATTCACGGAGCTCTACTAGCAATGTGCCGTCCAGCACATTCGCTCACCACCATTTGACTCACAGTCTGTTGTACCCCAAAAAAGCAGCAGACCAGAGCAGCACCGGAACATATGTATGGAGAAAACTATCCGCACACACGCGCATTACAATTAAATCGATAGTGGTTCGAATTACAACCAATCAAATGCAAGGTCACATGATAGGCCAACGAGTGCTAAATAGCAATGTGAATGGGATAAGCGAATCGAGGGCAAAAACAACGCAAAGTATCTGAACACGACACAGTCGAGTGGCCAGACAGAGAGGTTCGTCGATACGTTCAATCGAGCACTCCTCAACTCAAAAGAGGAGGGTGGTCGAACGATCCCTCTTCCTGTACCGATCAGCACCGAATTCAAAAGTGTCAGATGGACTTTCGCCAGCACATGCTATAAGGAATAGAAAGCCGCGTCTGCCGTTCGACCTCGTTCAGAGAATCTTATTGATGAAATGCACCGCAGAATGGATCTGGATTTCAACTGGCGGCATGGAGCACAGCAACCATCGTTCATGCCGATGCAGACAGTACTAGCACTTGACTATCACGAAGGCCACATAAACCAGACGTCCGGCATAATCAGAAACAAACGCGGGAATGTCCTTTATGACGTGATTGTGGGTACACGGATCTGGGGCTGCCATGCGAACTAGATACGATCAACGCTGTGTAGACTAGAAGAAACAAAGCTCTTCGGTCTCCCGTTGATTAATAGCTTAAACCTACGGAATGAGCCCGTGGACGACTGATGTCAGTCGAGCAAGGAGCCCTGACTACAGATCTAGAACCCGTTTCTCAGACACTTCAGCTGAGGCCATTAACCGACAGAGACAGAACCCCATCCAGGAGGCTATAAGTTAATCCCAGGCTTCCTTCATACACCGCAGACGATGTTCTAGGAGAGGTGTCCGGAAGAAGATAAGAATTTCCCGGAAAAGTCACTATTTCAACTATTCATCGATTGTCATCGATTATCGTATCTATTTCGAACTTACCGGAATATTCCAAGGTTTACACATGATTACGAACCTCCTGAAGATTGGCTGGATCGATATGGCACTGCTAATCCTGCCAGTTGACCTTCCTATCCCATCACCAAGTGATCTGTAAGCATAAGCAAGATCTCTATTTTTACAGTGCTTTCTAGAGGCTATTAACGTGTTATTTTGGCAAGGTCATTCGCGTACTAATTTTTTCTTCGCTTGGGCTACAGGTCTTGTGATGCAGTTAATCGCTTATTTCTGAATCACAACGAGCGGAAGATCTAGCGCTAGGTGCACGTTTGTCTCACGCATATAAAACGAAACCAATCGCCATAGGCGAAATTCCTCGCGGTCAATGCTCGGACGTTCCTTAAACGGATCATAAGCCGTAGAAAAAAGCATCATTTTATAATTGGCTCACCAAACACTGCGCATACGTCAATTCAACTTAGCGCTGACAAAGAAAAAGGATTTATCCGGTTTATAATCTCTGAGGGTCTAGTATACAAATCGGTTTTGTGTAGATTTGTATTGTGGCTGCAATACAAATCAACCGAAACCCGATTCATATTCTGAACCGATTGAAACTATCAATTCTCAGCGTATTCCAGTGATATATCCATCTTTACCCTCAGAACCGATAACCGGTAGCTGGAACGAAACTTACGGATTTCTGAAGTCCGACACGCTTCTGCGAAAAGCGTCTGGATCAAAAGCGGATTTTCTGGAAATAATGTATAAACGATAAACCTGGGAATTCCGCTCTTTCTCATAGAATCAGATACTCCATGACGTGTCAAACGAAGAGATGTTAATTGTTGAGATCATGGGAACTGTTTGCGATGGAAAGAAGAATTGACCGCTCATTGTAAGCGAACAAGTGTATTGAGACATATCAACATAAATGTAATCCAAAGCATGATTCTCAACCACGTCACTGAATGAGCCTACACACACTCCATCGTTTAAGGTGGGTTTGACTTGTATGTGTCCTGTGCTGGTGTGCTCGATTCTGTGTATGATTATCACTTATTGCACTTTCATCTTAAACTGCGAAAGTGTATTAGCCTTCATTTGGGACCTTCTCATGGAGACATGTGTTTATTTCATTTCCGGGGCTGAGTTACCTGTTCTCCTAAAAATGTCTGTAATCAGTTTTGCCTGTTTCGGCTCGGCCGTTGTTCTATGGGTCGGAGATATACTCGTGATCCGACTTACACCTGATTGAAACCAGCTGCTGCGATCATCATCAACACACGTTAATGGAAGGTGAGAAACAGCTAATATGCTGCAGTACAAAAAACATAAGTGATTAACAATTACAGACTACAAAAGCTAAAATAGGTAACGTATTGTTGGAATCACACTATACATTGGCTTTGAGATTGTTGTTGGAGAGGGAAGCGCCATTGAGACTGGTTCCTCGCTCTGCCGGCTAGTGTATCCAACGAAGCGTGTTTATCGTCCTTCGGACCCCAGCCAGGCATCTGGGAAACACCAACCGATGCCATATAGCTACTATGCTAGATCCATCTTTTTGTCTGGTGCAGAGTACGTCTCCCTCCTTAGCTCAAAGTATTGTTCCCACACCCTTTTCCCAAATGCCACTATGTGGTTGGGTAGATTCGTTTATTGAAGCAGCTTTGTTTCCTCTGCCGTCCATGCTATGAACGAAATGTGCTTATATTTATCTTTCACCACATAAATTCTCCCGTCAGTTCAGTTGATTCCAATTTTACAATTTAGGTTCTCGAATGCGGTTGGGAGAACTTAGTAAAGCAAATCCACGTAGCTACGGATTTGGACGAAGTTATCGAGGCACATCAGACCTTTTTGTCCAACGTGCTCACTCGATGTCTGCTGGATCCACCATCACGACAACTGATCGCTCAATTGCGAACTATCTTCGATCTGGTACTCAGCTTCACACAGCTGTTCAATGATCTGATCGGTGTTGCAAATGCTGAACTGGCCGTTCGTGAGCGCTATGCTAATGAGGTAGGTTGATTAGGACTGTGTGTTTCTGATTGATCCACCGGGCTCCTTATGGACTTGTCTTTGCGTTTTTTTGTTTTTGCTATACTTTCATTTTACCTTATCCCCTAGACCCATCATGCGTATTTTTGGCACGTTACCTTGTTCGTTTACCTCTCTGCACCCCGACGACACTTATTGAGCTTTACTTTTTGCACACTGGCCATTATCTTACTTTTTGTGATATCACGTTTACGGTTTGCGTGAAGTGTATCCCTATCGACCGGAATGACCCTGTCTCATAATCATGGCAACAAACGCTCACCCGGCTTCATTCGTACTTGAGACTTCCCAGAGTAATATTTGAATCGGTGACAAGCCACGTTAGAATTTACACAAAGTTTGTGGCCCTTATCTTCCCCACCTCTTCAGTTCCACTAAAAAGGAGCAGGACCCTTCCCCTAACGCTCGTGTCTCCACATATATATATATATATATATATATATATATATATATATATATATATGGTTGGCGGCATCCGGTTTCGGATTTGCCTGTCACTGTGGCCAGCCACAGGACGCCTGCGCCTACAGAGGGACCATGGGTGGCTTGCGCTGTACCACCCACAGCTCCAACCACACACCCCATATCCAGTGTAAACCCGAAGGAATAAGACCGGGAGGCATGTGGATGGGAGCCACGTTTCATCAACGGAGCCGGCCCACACTCCTTCACAGGCAAACACACGCACGCTGTATTTAGGGAATCAAGCGCACACAAGGCGGTGGCTAGACCGTAGTACGCTCCACACTGAGTGCATGGAACCACTTTACGAGCCTAGCACGGCCACAAGGACCGTGCACCCCATCCCCTTCAGCAACGACCAACTGTCTCCTGGAGCCAGTATGAACGAGGTAGTGGGTAATAGACAGGTAGGCACCTTGTCAACATACACATCAAGCGCAGCCACACCGGGGACATCAAACAACAGCCATTCACTTTAAACGACAAGCTGAAGTAAAATAAATCCAATAATGCATACAGATACGGTGGCATAACTCTGCGCCAAATTACCATTTCAGGTAAGTTGGTTAGCAACGAATCCGTGATAAGGAAAATATGTCCACAAGTTAATCAAAAATGCTACAAACGCAACAAAATTACCGAAGATAAGCGCAATTAGCGTAAGCGACGTGGCCAGCTATTAGAAGACCATTTAGATAGGCAAAACTAACCAAATAAACTGGAATGAAATTTATGCAGCTTAAAGAGACCTAGTTTAAGTGTAAGTTGGTTTAGCCCAACTGCAGTGAAGAAGCATCAAGAATGCAACATCAGCCTCAGTATGGGGCATATATATATATATATGTATGTATATATACATATATATATATATATATATATATATATATATATATTCTTATATTCACTAGGGATTAATGAACAGATAATACGGCACAGCAACACTGGCGCCGCTGATGTCTTTTACGCGCCATCGCCTTCAACAGATGCAATCACAGGAATTCCTAGTCACCTGGTCCCCAACCTAGGAGTCGCACTGACCCAACTGGTGCTTAGTTTGAGGCTGCTTTCTTCATGATGCTTTTTCTCGTTTCTAGACTTGCCTTGCTACTGAAGTTTGCTTTGCGCACGGCTTAGGTGATTTCTTCTTCAGCAGTTCACTGTAATCCTTTATCTTTTGATAGCCAGAAGTGGACCTTCAACACATTTGACCGTATTTCTCTCATTTTCGGGAGCCTGTCTACTGGATTTAAGCTTGTCGCTCCAGTGTTGTGTTCACGATAAGGATGCTAAAACCAGCCACATTCATGTGACCAGATGGAGCGTTTCCGCATGTACTTCTGTTTGTGGCCTACTGTACTCTCTCTCTCCTCCATCTACAAGCTCCGGGCGTCTACTACACACACTTATCGTACACGTTCTCTTCTACTGGACCACTAATCAGTCTGACTTCGATGTTTCGCGTTTGTATACTGTGCTTGCAATTCACTCGCGTCCTCATACAGTTCTGTGGGTTTTCCATTTACACTTTTCCGAATGGATCCGTTATTAACCAGACGCTGCTGTTATTCAATCCCATGTTCAGCCTGTGCGGTAATGCTGTACTCACTTATTCACTTCTGGATCGGACATTTGCAGGACAGTTATTTGGTTTTCAATGCTTTGGGAGTAGCCTTACTTTAGTGAAGTGCGTACAAGCCAGTAGTACATTTGGTTGCGTCAAACGCACCACTTCATGAAGACTTGTTCTCTGTATGGAATACTGCACTGTGGTCGTTGGCTGTTTCTATCTTAGTGCCGTTATCACGTTGCCGTTAGCCAATGTTACTAATCAAATCGACAATGCTTGTGTCTGCAATCGGGCTTACGTGGTTCAGCATTTCAATGAAAATAGCTAGGTTTACGTGATATGTGAAGTGCCCTCTATTGCCTTTATCTCATCACACAGCTGTTAATCGCACCTTAATAAGGATTTGGTGAAAATCACAATTTCACTTCCATTTTCGTCAATGACTAAACGTGCGTTTTATTCGGCACATCCTATTTCGTCGTTCAGATCATCACTTTATTTCAGCATACTACATTAGTTAGGTAATTCGATATTACATCTCAGGGAATGTGTGGATTACCGATTATGTTAAGTGGGTGAATACCTGCATTACTAGACACACTACTGTTGGCTTGTGCCGTTGGAGTTGAGATCAAGCACTATCGATGACGTGGAAAGTGTTGTTTAGTGTGCTTGGCGTACGACCGCCAAATGTCTCCGTCAGTGTGTACTACTAATATCCATCGATTGGATTAGGTTCAAATTGCATTTGTATATTTTAAAAACTTTATTAGAGACCGTGCGTTGCACCATGTTCGGGTCTCCAAGTGTGTACAGTGATGGACTCCAAGGAAGTCGTAAGCGTTGTTTGTGTACTGTCTTAAAAAATAATAAATCTGGATTTTTCTTCAGGGACCTGCACATATTGTATTTCGAGTTATCTAATTTAAAACTGTTTGGTTAGCGGATCCACAAAATCATGAAAATGTCATAGCCGACACACTATTTGGTTGATTTCGCGCATGACCTCTTTCAAATCACGTTCGTGCCGGATTCGGTGAATACTCAGCTCCGATTCGCACCGATTTCTGGGTATATTCTATACATTATTGACTATGGTTTCCCATCCGTCATTTGTGGTAGATGGAACGAGATTGTTTTAAGTTCAAAGAATCTTGTGGTGACTTATTCAGCTTCTCCTAGTAGAACGGGTAGTTTCTCGTCGCTTAGGGTCACAAAAGTGGATTCGTCCGTGGTACTTGATCATCCGGGAAATCCGTTTGTGATTCTCTTCTGAAACACTCCATGACCTAACTGAATACTCTTCTTGGAACTACTGTTAGTGTATTGATAGATTTTCCGTGGGATAAGACCGTGGTCCGCCCTCATTTTAGGCTTGGAGTTGGGAACACTGGTCGCGTGCTGTCGTCTTCACAATAAAGACCCCGTCTAATCTAAATCAGCCTCGTTTGACTTCATGTCCTTTTGCAATGTGCTTCGCTTTTATGCAGCCGTGATTTTTTTGCTAAAGAACTTCAACCAGTTGTTTAATACGTGCGAAGAATAACACTCCATCCAAAGCGGCTATCCCGTCCAAGGACGAGATGACATTTCCTTAAATCTAGCATCTCATCCGCACTCGATGATGTTGCGATGATTTGATGTACATCTTCCTTTCATCTCTCTCATTTCCATTCGTAAGCATCCACAAAATCACTATTTGAGTCAAAACAAAATTAGCGTGAAAATCCCCAGATCTAGAGGGCACTGACCTCGGTTAAGTTGGATTCCCTAAGCTGCGTTCATGTAACCCTGCTGAAAATCTTTCTTTGGCATCAAACTAGGTAACAACGATTTCGTTATTACAAATGTTTTTTCTGGGACAAGATGTTATTGCAGGGCGGATAACAATGACCCGCGTTGGCGTGCTTGGTTATTGTAACAGTGTGCAGCTGCTGAAGGCAAAGATTGAAACTAGCATCTTGTTGGCGACGCAACGTATACGACGTATCTCTCACAAGAGGTAAGATGTAATAACACAGGACAAATGGAATTGCCGTCCCATTCCATTTAATTGCCTTTTTATTTTTACATTTGCTCAACTGTTATTGGAATGCAAGGGTGCACGTTGCAAAATGCACGCGAGTGCATTTTTCTCACTAATGCGAACCACAACCACCTCCAGTAGTAAACCTGAACATATCAAGCTGAATTTCGTATGAAAAAATTGTACGGGTACTAACTGTATGAATTGTCTATTTTTAAAAACAAAATTTGAGGTACTGCATAATACACGACAGTAGATGTTCGTACATAAATTCGACCAAGTTGGATTAAATTTCGGGTACTAAAATACGTTTTGTAAACGTAATCTTTTCAAGTCGTAACTGATGTTAATATTCCGTTGCAGATTTAAAGATATGTTTGTAGCAGCCAGGCTATCACTTTCGTCTAACCAAACAAGGTTTGTGCTTTCCATCAGAGGAGAAAGAAGAAGTTGTATGAAAAAGAAGAAACTGTACTAGCCTACAACTAAATGTTGCGTCCAAATAGTAGTGATAACACCGCAGGAATTCCTTGTAAATAATCGGTATAAGGAAAAAGTTGTTCTTTTAAAAAGCCTTACGTTGCGAATACTTTTAATAAGAAAAGCCGCTGACCTCAGATGTAGCTGCGGTTGCGCGCTCACGGTTCCCTTGCTTGGGGCGCAAGAATCATGAGCATGGCAAGAAACTATGCTCATTGGCGAACATGTCGTGAGACTCTATTCTTTTAACTACAGTTTTACACTTTTCTCTCCATTATCGCTGTTTTATATTCATCCGTATGTTGATACTACTAAATGTGATGCTGAAAGAAACAGCGGTCTAATGAGAATGGAAGCGTTTGTGACCAAGTCTTCATCTAACACTAACTCGAAAAGTAAGCTCATGACTAGCATTCTGAACAACGG